CGGACATGGCTAAACTAGCACTCAAACTATCCAGGAAAGCTTCAAACTTACATGAATCTTCACTTAGCAGCACAATCTCACACGAATATTGTACATCAGCCTGCGATCTGCGAGTAGACCGTTGCCGTCTCCATAATCAAAGTTAAAACGAGATTATGTAGAAAAAGATATAGAGGGCAACCATGGTGAACACCACCTTCCGTGGCGAACTCGGGCGAAAAGGTGCTGTAAACTCGGACTCGGCTCCGGCTATTAGTAAAAGGGATCACAATATATAAATAAACATCTCGGACGTACTCTTCCGGGAAAGGCAGCATCGGAGTTTAAAGCGCTCGACTGAGTAGAAAGCCGCTTTCAGATCGAGGAGCAGAGATGGTGGGTCTACGAAAAGAAAGTCGGTGTTCTAGAATTTGGCGAAGACTGATGGTGTGGTCGATACAACGTCGACCAGGTCTAAAACCAGCCTGATTCTCACGCGTGCACTCTTCGCGTGCGGCAGATAATCGACGGAGTATGATCCCGGCGAGGAGTTTAGAAGCAATGTTGAATACACTAATTCTGCTGTGGTTTTCACAAGAGGACCTGTCACTTTTCTTGTAAATCGGTAAAATGACCGATTCAAACCACTCTGTTTGAACCTGTTCCCTCTCCCATATTGAGCCCGGGAGTTTCGTCAACTCCAAGAATAACACCGAATCTCCATCTTTGAAACCCGATGGGGACAGTCCATCTGGGCCGGAGGCCTTTTGCCTTTTGAGATAACTTATTTCCCAGGAAACCTCCATTTCCGATGGAGGACTGATATCTACCGGCTGAAGTAGGTATTGGAAGGTTTTGTGTCGACTATGCGGTGGATGGGGCTAGTTTAAATGTAGCAAGTAGGCACCTCAAAATAAAAATGTGCGTTTTTTCCAAACTTTCTAGAGACAGGACTATCGCGACACTTTCGATACTTTGTAAACCGATTTGGATTTCGCCTTACCACAAAATGGTGGCCTGAACAGATTTCCTACGGATTAGTCAAACTATAACATCTTTTTAACGGATTGTTCGGAAGCTGAGCGTGAGCTGAGCTAATGAAATATTTCACTACGGGTGATCCAACGACCAAACAGAGGTGAGCAAAATACAGAGTCAATGAAGAACATGTTAAAAAACCTCGTTTCAAAAACGAAGACATTCCTATCATAGAGAAGATACCTCCTTCATCTGTAAACCCAGAGAGTCCTTTAGTGTTAACAGTCAAAGCTCACGTGTTGTACCTGTCGCCAATAGTGGATAAGGAGAACCACATGCTGTGATAGATGTATTTAGACATGTACAGGGTGCTTGACCAGACGAAGACTCAGAAAAGAAAACTGAAGCTTGTTAAGCCAAGTTGCTACCTGAAGTTTATAGGAGCTTGAAGTAACCATGCAAACGGTAAACTACCAAAGTGTTTGCAGCCAGGTGCCAAAGGAGCCGGTCTTGTGAGGTAGCTTTGTCTGACATGGTTGGATCTGCAGTTGTGTGGAGGTATACTGCATAGCTCGCAGGGACATGGAGACGCTCAAGGCATCACAGGACGTCAAAGCGCAGTTTCGCGGTCGTGATCTGCGGCTGAGAGAGTTATCTTCCATTTTCTCCGTATTTAATTGTTTCACCTGCTTCCCACTTTGCTCCGTACCCCCATCCGCCTATCCGTTATTATTGTTGTGGCGTTGGCACCATGCTTGTTCACAAACCGGTCTAAAATATATGTAAAATATTTAGATAGCGTAGAAGTTAATGTGATGAACGTATTTATTGGGGTAAGTTTTTAAAACCGGAATCAAACGTTGCTCAGCGTGGACATGACGTTCGCGACAGATTCACTTCTGGCTATTTCCTGACAGCGATTAATTTTATGTCTTAGTCAGTTAGCCTTATTTGTATTAATCTGACATCGATCGTGTAATTTGAAACTGATTTTAGGATGCCCTTTTCATGGGTATGCATAGGTTCGTGTCCTTACTAATGCAGTAACACGCTTCTTACCAGGAACGCCTGAAACTCGACATTCTAACATCCAGGTAGTGGGTGAAATAAAGCCCAGGATGATCAAGCTAAGACCTGGCATTAGAGTATGAAAACCCTAACCAGGATTCTTGGTCATATATGTCCCATTATGCCCCATGAATGGAAACCTCGGCACGATCGTAATCGATGATTAGATACACCGAGTGATGTGGCTGGGTGGTACACAGTGGCGTTCGTGCATCTTCTCATTTTCTTTGCAATATTAGTCCACCGAAATGTCTAGTTTTTTCTTCGGTTCTACTTCCAAGCTTCCTGTCTTCCACTGTTCATCGAACTTGGCTTCCAAAAGACAGCAATGAAAATCAGCGCACTTAAGTGCATGTTTAATGGTTTTGCAATCTGAAACTGAAAAACCTCGTGACCACCTAGTGTGTTAGTTCTGCTTTGTAAACTGTCAGGAATTTTAAATTCCAAAAACATCGGATCGAAAAAGTCATATGTTTGGTGAGAATAGCCAAAAGAAAAAAGCCGCAGCTGGGTGAGCCTCCGGCCCACAATGATCGATCACTGTATTTCACCACGGACGGTACGACGTTTTCTGATTGGTCAGACAGCGTAATCAACCGGGCGGTTCGATGACTCTGATTGGTCAATTGATATCGAACGTCTAGAACGCACCGGACGCAATAAAAAAGATCGAATGCTAACGCGTAAGGACGACGCAAAAAAGGAACACACTTTTTTCTCTAATATACTGTCCTGTACCATTTTAATTGTTCTCTTCTTCGGCTTGGAAGTTGGTGGTGCGATAGCAGTCTCAGCAACAGTCAGTACACAACATACACAGCTTTACTCGGTTCTATACCGAATTTGTCCTGTTGATTCAGCTTTCGAACCAAGTTACGGGATTTGTGTTATCGATCCTCAAGACCACATGATAAGCGTCTGTTGTGGTAGGTAGCGCTCTTGATATCCAACCTAGGTTGCGTTATAATCATTATCAATAAAAAAATCTATAGTTCACACACGCCTGACGCCAGACTGTGACCTAAACAAATAATGGTACAGTAATCTTCATAAAAAAGAAAAACATTCTATGTTTGGCTTGTGGGCTGAATACTAACAGATTGCCCAGGCCAAGGCAGGTTGATGTTCTTGAGGAATCCACAACCAGAGCTTTCGGCTATCCAAAGCCTGACCCGCAAGGCAGCGGGGTGGTGTGTGAAAACCACAATCCATTGGGGGCCGGTGTCCAGTTCATCGGATCATACGCCCTTTTGACGGGGTCAAACGTCCAAGGTACCCAATGCAAAGGTGTGTTCGTGATGCATCATAGTCCAGTCGCAAATCCCCACTGAAAGACCGTGATGTACTGTACAAATGGGAGCCAAACCGTTCTGATTCGACAACACCTGGGTTGATAACGTTGTAATGATATGATCAAGTGTAAAATAACTGTACAATGAAGATCGCCAATCAACAACACACAAAATTTTACCGCATTCTATTGGCCAGTTTAGCTTCTCAAGAACTGTATTCGTCGTTTCTTCATGCTTTTTTAGCTAACACGTTTTTCTCAATCATTTACTTCAATCGTTGGTGCATGATACTCTTAAACGTTTCGTATGCTTGCTTGCGATGTTCACCGAAGCGGGTAGTGGGTGGGAAAAAGGCATTGGCGGTCATTCTGAAACCTGGCGTGAGTGTATGAAAGGCCTGACCAGAAGACTCGGTCATACACATCGCTTTAAACTCCCTAGATGGGAACCCCATGATCAGCGTGACCAGTGGTTAGATACACTGAGTGAATTGGCCGTCGTAAACAGTGGTGCTGTTGCATCCTAAAAATCTCTTTGCAACTTTAGTTCTAGAATTTTCCATTTTTTCTTTGACGCTTCTATTAGCATTCTTTTATCCAAATGGGTAAACGAAAGGATGCAACCCAACCCGCGCACGAAAGTGTATGATTAAGGATAGTAAAAACTTAGCTGTACTGTACCCGTTTCACCCTGCTTGCTGTCGGATGTAGTACCGAGAGAGTGCACGAGAATAGTTAAAAATTTTAGACCTCGGTCTCTGTGTCCATTTTATTGAACCAACCCTGACAGCATTGGGTTTTGCTAACGCCATATAACAGTTGCCTTACATTCCGGTAGGCCATGCTTACGCAGATAGATGTACAAACTCTAACTTTCCTTATCAGTCCATTATGATGTGAACCTCGACACCCCTCCTCAGTGTTCGTCAATCTACAGTGTTTGGTTTCTTCGTCGTACCCTGGATGTCTAACTGTAGTGTACAGTGCGATTGCTCCATCGTTTACCATCGTCTTGTCCCTCTCACCCGTGACCTTAAACAAGTAAATTCCCTCTGACACTTACTGCGATCTGGTTGGATCATATTTTGCTATCTGCGGCGCTTAAAATCCTCACCCCAACACGAGAATATCTGATTACCGGCTTGTACGTTTTGTAATGCTCTAGTTGTTACGTCCAGTCCATCCGTGTGCTGATGGTACTTCTGCAGCACAGTCCAAGTTCACTGGGCCTGCCTGAGACTCACAGCTGTCAACGAGGTGTGGTTTCTCGCCCGGGATAGCTGGGCAAGCAGCAGGTCCCTCGTTGCGGCTGAACCATTCAACCAATCGATAAATGAACCCGATCGGTCGTGTGTTTTTCGGGCCGGCTCAGGAGGATTATAGGTTCCGAATCCGATGAATCATAAGTGTGGGACGGGACGCCATGTGGGAAATTCAGAATGGAAAGTGCTCAAGTGATGATGATTCTGGGCCGACACTTGACTCGTCTAAGATATATGCACTATTTTTCGAAGCGGGTTCGGTAAATATATAATCATAATAAAACTTTGAACTTGACCGGGCCAGGTGGTTTGTTTGCGTTCAGAGAGCGCAATGTTTGGCGACTTTTCCTAGTCCCGATATAAGGTATAAAAGGGTTGCCAGTAAAGAATAAAGATGGAGGTGGTGGTTACATCAATGATTTCTGTGGGGACTCTAATAATAAATTCTTTAAGCTTCCCGCAGAAATGTAAGATAAGTTGACGGAAATGAACATCAGCATTTTTTATATTTGATTTGTTGACTAGGTCAGGTACTGTCAGTCAGGTATACTTGCTGATGCATGGTGTAATGTCCACATCACTTCAATACCAGAGGAAGAAAAAGGAAAGTCTCGGCCTATTACTTCATGTTCCGTATTATTCAAGGCTTCTGAGCTACGTTTGCTGAGTTGGATGCAGAACTATCTCACTGACTGATGTCAGTTCACGTGTCTTAATGACTTTAAGTCTTCCACTGTCAAATTTTTTTCTTACTTAAGAATGCCGATCGTGTAGTGGCTGCTAATGCATACAACAGGATCATTTTCATGAACCCCTTTCAATCAGCAATGAGTTCCATTCCTACATGGTCTTAAAATGGTATAGATTATCAAACTGCTCATTCTTCGCTAAACCCGTAGAGCTGAACCAAACAGAACAGAATCCATTCGTTTGAAAAACAGGAGATATTTTCAAAGTGAAAAGCGGATACTCAATATCAGAAAAATTATTACTGCTGACATTGTTCAGTGCAAAGTCTGCGACGTTATCATTCCTTATATGCCAAATGAAATCATGATGCATTCCTTTCTCCTGTATGTTTTTTCACCATTCAAACTTCAAGTGAATCCATCGTCACTTCAATTACTCCCAACCGAATGCATTTTATGGAGAAGTGAATAAATCAAAAAAATGAAAACAACAATAATGAAATCAATCTTTGGCTGCCCTGAGAAAGGCAGTTTCTACGTTCTCTGTTGGAACCAATCTCAATGGTCTCCCATGTCCTTACCATCAAGAGCAGGCATGTAAAATGTCTGCGAATGTCGCACGAACCCAGCGCAATGAGAATCTGGGATCGATGATATCGCTCTCGCTACCGACTGCTCCAAGAACTGCATTCGCCATTCCGCTTGACTGATGATACCTCCAGAATCCCCTTGAAGGAGGCTCAGAAAATTATCGCTCAAATCGCGCTTGACTTTTCTCTTAATCACTCTCCACATATGCTCAATTTGATCGAGCGTTGGCGAGTAAGGTGGCATCCTCAGCAGCTTTGCCTCACGATATTCACTCTCAGTGAATATCTCCTCCAGTCTGTTGTTGCAAGGAGCATTGTCGCAAACGACTGTGATCTGCTTGATGGGTACTTTTTGCTGGAGTCGATCCAGCACTGATCGCATCCACCGCTTGCAGTCTTTCCATCGATATGCTCCACGTTTGGTCTTGCAAGATACCATTCCCATCACAGTTGTTACGGGAACGATAACAGATATAACGTAGGACGAGATTTGAATTGCGCTTAAGGAATCTGTGAACAATACACAGCTAACTGCAGGAAAACGACGCATAAGATAGGACAAATAAGCTAAGTCTAACGACGATAGCTAGCAGTAAACAGCGATCCTGTGAATCTAGACTAAACGCACGGTCTGGGCAGGAAAAACGGCTTCGGGCAGCAGTAATAATATTGAACGTGGTTCTATAAATAATTACAGTATCAATATATATAAAATAGGTACTCACGACTAGATTGACATGACGTAGATTTAACTAGCGCGTCAAGTTCAGAATATAAAATCAACAATTATAAAGGGCGGTAATGCAGTTAAACAGAAATAGAAAAAGAGAAAAAGCATATAAATTTTAGGTCTCGTATAGAGCGCAGCGAGTTGGGATATGGTGTAGCGCAAAAATGGATAAATGTTGAAGTATGGGTAATAAAGGATTCACAAATCTTTTACAACAGTCATGGCACCTATTAGATGCAAGTTTCTCCCGAGACTGTTGCATACCGGCAAGCATAAACGTGTGCCTTTTGTTGACCAACCCATTGTCCTGGTGCAAGAGGTTGAAGTTTGTTTCATCAATCCAACAAATACAACCATCTTCTTGGTCTACTTCAAACATCTGGAGAGCATACCGCTGGCGAATTACCTTCGTATCAGCATTATTCATTCCATATGGAATGAGATGAAGCTTCTTGATTGAAATCAGTCGGCATTTCAAATAATCTCCAACTGTTGTGCGTGAAACCTCTATCTCAAACTCCGCTTTAATTCGAATTCTTAACAGCTCCAATGCGATTGTGGGATCTTCTTCCAGCCAGGTTATCATTTCGTCGACCTCCGTGTCATTTAGAGTCTTTTTCCTTCCTCCACTTTTTGGTTGACGTTCGTGCTGCAGTTCCTTGGCATTAATACAGTTGTAAGCGGTCTTATACTTCACTCCATTGTGTTTTGCAACAACACGCCAATCCTCTCCCTCTTCGAAAGCCTGAACAATTCGCTTGCACACAGCGCTGTCAGCACAGTTGTACCGACCTCGAAGCATGATGAAAAAGTGAATGGAAGTGGATGAAAAAATATCTTATACCACATCTGCATAGGCGACTGAGAGGTCGTTAATGTCCAAGCGAAGACTTTGATTACGCATGCCCCATGTAACGAAATGTGCATCGGATCGACTGCGTTCTGTTTCGTTTAGTTCTGTGGGATGAGCCAGGAATGGGCGAGCTGCACTTAAGGTTTAACTGGTTTTGGTTGCTAGGCCATTGATGACAGCCAGTCCATTCACCCATGTTCACCTTAAGAACTCCAACCTCTGTCGCTGAACCAATCTTTTCGTTCAAATAGGCCCATGATTCTCATACATCGCTCGGATCGTACCGTAAGCCCAAAACTCGACCCTGGTTGTAGTTACTGTGACCAGCTTTGATTATTGAGCTATCGTCAATGCTAGAGCTGTAGTGAGAACGAAACAGTGCCTCACCTTCATGCATATCGAGTGGCGTCCAGGATGGCTTCGCCGACCCATCGATTCGACGTCCGTCACAGAGCTCGACAAGATGCACGACTGAGGTTGGCCTCAGCACAGAAAGAGCGTGGGAAGACAGGTGGTCAATCCGAGGGTAGAAAAAATGTATGATCAATGACCAATGAGGTGCGCTGAACGGAAGCGGATCCAACCACAGCGTTTCCTTTTCAATTCTAAGTGACGGTTTCTCAAATCTATCTTAAAATGGTATAGGGCACTACAAAACGTACAAACCGGTAATCAGACATTCTCGTGTTGGGGTGAGGATTTTAAGCACCGCAGATAGCAGAATATGATCCTACCAGATCGCAGTAAGCGTCAGAGGGAATTTACTTGTTTAAGGTCACGGGTGAGAGGGACGAGACGATGGTGCAATCGCACTGTGGATTTTCGTGATTTTGTTGTCTATTCCCTCTATTGTCGGTGACTGTGTGTTAAAAAGATTATTGACTTTGGTCTGATAGTTACACGATAACAGGCGAGGAACCCTTGCAAAAGTTGACCAGAGGCATATCCGAAGAGTGAGCGTCGTACTCCAGCATCTATGCCGTCAANTATTCTGAGGTCACCTATACTGTTCACAGCAATACAGTCGGTTGTGCTTTTCGCTTCTGAGGGAGTGGGTTTGTATGTCGAATTTGGTTGTGAAGTTAAAGCTTTCGGTTATCGATGCTTATGTAATCTGACGCGAGATGGGGCGAAAATATCAACTGCGTCA